AGCCCGCTTCTGAATTACGGAGATATACAAATTTCAGATATTTTTCAATATATGTACTCAATAAGTCACTAAAAAATATTTATTTATATTTAAAATTATTTACCATATTAACATATTTAAATACATGATTGCAAGTTTGGGCTTTCTTATTTTTGATAATAAAATAGTTTAAAAATTAATTTATGATGGTTCGATTTTATTAAGAAATAAAATTATATACATACATATGTATACTATATAGGTATTCCGGTTTGCTTATTCTAAATGAACAACTATCTGGCGAGAGGTTATGATTATTTCAAGATCACAAGTGAGATAAATCATATGCTTATCTGCTTTCCTTACGTCTAATTCTACTACAACTATTGTCCATAAGCGCGGCCTGATTAATAAAAACTAAGAGATAATAAAGTATTTTTGCAGTTGTAAACTTGCCTCTCTCTTATTTTCCATCATACGAAGATTATTGCTAGTTTATTTACATATATAGTTTCATAATGCCTCTTGATTTATTACTTCCCTGTTTCTACTTGTACTGTAGGTAATGTTTCCTTTAGAAAGTCGGTAAGTTTTTAAAATCATGACTACTTATTCTCGTATCAGTTGTTTTTATTTGTGTCTCCCTTTAATTCTTTCACATGGTCCTTGGGACTATTAGGGAAATATAGTCATTCTTTCTATTTATGTAAACGGTGTAAGACATTGGCCGAAACAATTAGTACCTAATGTAGTCGGTACTTCTACAATAAACAAATATTCCAACAAAAGTGATCAAATTTTATTAGGTTATGGCTTTTGCAAGAGACCAATATTCTGAAAGGCCTAACTATATTATATTGTGCCTTACCAATTAGCATAAAACTACATCAACTTTATATTTATCGAAATATAAAGTATTGACTGAGTGACTGAACTGAAACAATGACGACTTAGTTCTCTGGACGTTCGTATATCACTACCATTTGTTTGTACTTATCTTTAAACGTCATATCTTCTGGTGTTAAGGTATTGGCAACACCAAGTTGTGCCTTGGGGTTAATGCCCTCATTTAGTTCCTCTCTGTTGAGTTATGGGAAAGAAAATAATAAAATATAAACTGAGTAAATAATCTTTAATGAGATTTTTATATAGCTTTTATAGCGTCACATAGGACAAAGATACTTTGGTTTTTATATAAGCATTTCTGCTGATCAGCGTATTTAACCACAGCGTCGGCTTCGCTGGAGTAAGTTTAACTTAGGACTATAAACACCATTAAAACGAGCTAAGTATACAGAGTGTTCGACTTATTTTATTTTGCGTTTATCCAATACTCTGTATGGTGTACCCATATCGACAATCAGGTCATGTGAACATCTTTATCAATCATCCGACCAAATTCTAGTCGTCACTGTCGGCTCTGTGTTCAAATCTACGCAGTTTGTTTAAAAGCCATACAATTTAAACCAGTGGATTGGCCATAAGAGCACCTTGATACTAGAGCGCTGACCAGCATATGGCTTATTTAGGCTATAATTTTCTCTCTGCATTGTTATCAAATTTATTGTAGATGTAGATCTAAAGCTCGTTGGGTTTTCACCACATCTACAAGAAAACACGCTAGTAAGCCTTCGTAACAGAATACAAACATATTTTTAACCACCCATAAGAGATCATTTTTTATCAAAACAACCAAACAGCAAAACACCATTATTTATCCCAACTAGTTTCCTGCCACATCTTTAGTCTGCAAAAAAGTCTCGTACGTATATCAAGATCTATCAAATTAGTAGTAGTATGTCTCCAGATGCGGTACCGCATTTTTAGAGAAAAAGTTATTCTTAATAAAAAGTTTTGTTTATCTTGGGAAGCTGTGGGCAGTAATCAAATATGTAATAAAACATACAGAGCGTCCAAAAAAACTCAAAACATGACATTTTTCCTAAGCAGAGTGCCTTTCATTTTTATTTTCGATAAAAACTGCATTTAACAAAGTTGTTCGAGAAGTCAAGAATTGCTTAAATACAAAGTTTAGTCGGAAAAGACAACAATCACACTTTACAAATAAAAAGACGCCGCAATTTTGAACTATTTTACATACCATATAATTACCATGGTAATGACCATGGATAGTTCCTTAACAATGTCAAAGCCATCATATTTATTTTTATTAACTGCCCACAGAATAATTTTTATTAATAATGCTAACCCCGGAACAACGAATTCATCTTGTGAAATGTTATGGAACTGATGTTTCATATCGATATGCAATACAAATGGTGACGTAAATAATATTAAAAAAATATAAAAAGAATACAATGACAACGATGCTGCTACTATTGTAGTTATGGACACTCAGGAAAAGGTCAGAAAACACAGATTTCATATTCAAAGAATTTGAGTATACAACATCTATTTATTCAAACCAGTGTTTAATCATAAATTGCTAAAAGTAAATGTCTGGTGAGGCATAATGTATCATAAAATAATTGGTCCTTACGTTTTGAGAGAAAATCATAATCAAAATTCGTATTTGGAAATTCTCAATAATTTTGTTTTGGCAGAACTAGATACCAAAAATTTAGAGGTCAGAAGAAAATTAATATTTCAACAAGGCGGACACCCTGCACATTCCACACTTCTAGTGAAAAACTGGCTTGATGTTCACTTCCCGAACAAGTGGATCGAACGCTTTAGACCAATACCGTGGCCTGCACGGGCAGCCATTAGATTTTCAAAAACTCGAAAACTTTGAGAGTTACTTCTGAGGAAGAGAGCAGTATGTCTCTCGAAACATCACGAAACCTAAACAGACGACGCTGGCAACCAACCCGGAAATTGTTCTACCAAGCTATTTTTATATTAAATCTAAAATAAAAGTTTACAATTTCTGTCTGCTTTAAGTAAGATAGTGAGAAATCGTCTTCTTATTTACAAAATGTGATTATTCTTCTTTTTTGAGTAAATCCCGTATTTAAGCATTTGTTGAGTTCCCGAACAAATTTTGAAATTTTTTGGACGCCCTATATATTTTATTACATATTTGATTACTTATCAATACAGTGTTTTGTTAAATACCTAACTCAAGTTATTATTAGAGAGAAATTTGATACAATTTTTAAATAGTTTTACAAATATCCTCGAGTATACAAATAATATTTAATTGTCACAAATTCAGTCGTTAAAATGGCTGATTGACTTGTATTTATTAAACGGCCAGCTCAAGACTTTAATATCATTGTTTCCAAACCATTTTTTTGACAGAAAATGGTTTGTCCTGATGAAAAATTAAATTTGTCGCCAAATTATTCTGATGCTGTAGGCAAAGTTACCCTCTAAGGGTACTTTACCTTGTAAAAACCATAACCGAGTTGTATATCCACGGACGACAACATTCCTGGTCTATTTGGTTCCACATCACAGTTTTATTCAACATTATTGCGAAAACACAGATTTTGCAGTATTTTATGGATGGAGCCAAAACCGCATTTCTGTCCTTTCTAGCTGTTCCAACAAGAACAGCAAAAGCGACAGCGATTTGTCCTAAGTCACGTGACTTAGGATACAAATCGCGCGACATTGGTTTTAAAAGAAACTATTTCTGATCATAAAATTGACTCTTTTTAGTAACAACACAACAATTAAAAAAATTACTATCAAGTATATATGTAAAATTCGCAATATCACGTGATAGATATGAGAAATCGCGTGTGCTAGTCTTGCAAATTCCCCAAATCACGTGATGAGAGGCTAGTTTCATCTCAATTTACATATCGGCCTCTGCCTGCTGTCTCTACATTCTATCCATAGTATACTGTCAATTCTATGCGAAAATGTCATAAACAGTGACAGACACAAGCATTATTATAATGGACAAGTTCTAGCTTCTGCACCTGTCTGATTTTTGATAAAAAAAGTGCTGGGTCTGAAATTTTAGTTGTCTGTTGGAATACAAAAGTTGAAACAGCTAGCTAAGCCCTGTTGCATGCCACATTATACGCTGGAGCACTTTAAGTATTTCTTTATTTTTTGTAAATTAACGACCCTGAGGTATTGGCTCATTATAAATCCTCTATTAAAATAAGTAAGCGTAAGTAAGCAGGAGAACAGAAATTAAAATTTTAAAATTTTCGAAATATTATTATATTAAAACCAATATTAAAACTGAAATATACAAATATAAATACTTAGCAGTACAGAAAAGACTATACCTACTTTGTCTATCCGATAGCCGCGTCACTTTAAATATAAACGAAGTACACTACTTTTTTGCTTATTTTGATTCAAAATTATAATTAATTACAAAAGGTTTAATTAGTGAATAGTGAAAAAGTTATTTAGAAAATATAGAAACAAAAAATTGCCTCAAAAATTCAGTTTTCTGACAAATCTTTGCAATAAAGTGATTTGATTTCCTTCAGGCATTCTAGATAAAAAGAAATAAAAAAATTTGCCCTGATAAAATAAAAGTTTTGACTAAAACAGCATAGCAGTGTTTAAAACGTATTTTGAATCGAAGTGGGTAATAAAATTTAGAGTGTCCCATTTAAATTTCGAAAATCGTCATCTATAGTAGGATCATATTCGATGCAAAGTAATAAATCATCGCCTGTCAAGGGATCCAGAGCCATACGTTTTTAAGGGTTTTATTAATTAAATAATTTCTTTATACATTATGAAGGGACGAAGGGATCAGTTCACGTCTGGCACCCTTGTTCCTACAAAAATTCCTTTATTCTCATAAATTATTTAATTTAAATATAATTTATTATAAATCCAATTTGTTTTTTAATTTCCACATATGTACTACATTTTACCTATGTACGCGCCACTGTTGTCTACTTGTTTTTTGGTGGCGCTCTCTGTTTTACGATCAAGCTCGCCAGGTTAGTATTTGACGTATAATCGACCACTTCGTACACTCGATGCACCTGGGCGTCTACTAGAACACAGTGCGTATGCAGCGGTATTTCAGATTTAACATTGAATTTCATTTTAAATTTGAAATGGTTCATCTTACGCCTCCTAAAAATGATTTTCCTTTGATAAAAGACCGACAACTTTTTGGGTCAACTTTGCATCGAATACGATCCTACTATAGTGAGGTGGTACTAATCAGAAACGGGTTATAGTTGGGACAATCTATATATTCGAGTACAGCTTGGCCTTAATCAAGATTGTGAATCTATACAATAACAATTACCGTAAAAGCATTAATTCTTTTTAAATCAATAAAACAAAAAAAGAAAAACAATATTATATATAAATAATAAATAATAATATAAATCATAAATTGCACTAGGAGTCGAAAACAAAATCTATATTGCTTTTAAATACAAATTCAAAATATTTAATTTACTCTCTTCACTGACGTACAATTTTTATATTCTTTTATTCCTTATTTAACTTTTATGGTAGTAGACTTTTTCCCGTCAATCATTATAATTTATTACAAAAATAGTAAAATTAAAAAATTAATAGTTTTTTACATTACGTATTTTATGCAAAATATGTACCTACCAAATGTAGGTAGTAGTGTTTCTTGTAATAAAATTTCAATAATTAAAAAAAATATTATAAATAAAATTGATTAAGTCAGTGACAAGCTTTGTCTTATTAATAATTTGCAACCCTATTAGAAATCCTAACAGGAAAATTATTCTAAATTGCGAAACATTTTTCTTATTTTATCTACCCTGTAAAAAAATTTATATAATTTTAAAACAAAGTACAGGTTCTATTAATTTGTAAAATAAATTGATCTAGTTGAAGAAAATAACAATTTACTGTTTCGTTTCATTATTATTATTCGACGTATTTCCCTTTAGTAACTGTTGTATTTCTTCTAAAGTTTTCCCCTTAGTTTCTGGCACTATATAAACAGTTATAACACTGGAAATGGTAGTGCAGATACCAAAAAATAGGAAAGGACTAAAAAATCCCACCCTGCTGCTGAGAAAATAAAATACGTTAGTTATCGCAATCTGACTTAAAGCGAAAGCCACCGATAACAGATTGAGACCTTTTCCTTTGACGCTAGCAGAAAAAAGTTCTCCAAGCATTAAGGTGGGAATGATAGCCAGGCCAAATGAAGAAAAAATTATATACAGAAACATTCCGGCAACAGGCATCCAATTTAAAGAAGACAAATCTAGTTCTGGATAAAACTGGTCTATGATAAAATAGATAGCTTCAAAAAATAGAACCAAAGAACAGAATATTAATGACACCCAATAAGACTTCTTTCTTCCGAATATATCCACGGTGTGCATACAAATAAGATTAAGTACTACACATAATCCAATATATATCATAGATGAAACACCAGAACTCAAATTGCCACCAGCTTTTTCAAAAATATATTGAGTGTAAACTGTAAAAACTGACATTCCTCCTAATAGCTGAGAAGTTCTTAAGAATAGTCCAGCTAAGAGTGCTTTTTTGTTACTATTGATTGTAAAAAGATCTTTCCACGTCCCAGATTCAGATATTTGTCGTTGCACATCAGCTTTAAGCTTTATGAAATCTTCATTTACATTTTTATCTCCTCTAAGTCTTCTTAGAGACTCTTTCGCTTCTTCTAAACGCCCTTTCATTATATAGAAGTATGGGGATTCTGGCATAAAAGAGAATAGTATAACGAAACAAACAGGTATAGTGATACAAATATAACACGACTCTTTTACACTAAAGAAGTTGCCGATTACATTAATGACAAATTGTCCTAGAAATAAAAAGAATGTCAGAGCGTTCCCCCATCTGCCTCTAACTTTTGGAGAGCATATTTCTCCTATGTACATAGGCAGCGCTGAAAAACCGCACGCATCTCCCATTCCAGAAAATAACCTTGCGATGTAAAACATATACACGTCTTTAGCAAGAGCTTTGAGGATCCAAGTGATAATGTGTGGTATGGCACACAACAGCAGTGTCCGTTTTCTTCCAATAACGTCGCACAATTTCGAAAAAAGGAAACTTGTTAACATCATTGATATAGCCGGTATAAAGGTAAAATATGAAGCTTCATCTTCGGTGATATTGTAGTTATCTTTGTCTTGTGTAATTTTTACGATGAACGGTGAACTCCAAGCATACAATATACCATTCGAAAATATAGAGAGGCATGCTGTAACAGAGAAAGTTAACAAATTATTATTATTCAACTATTTCACATCTTTTTATTCTATTTTAAAGATATTCAGGAGGTATATCGGGTTTACTCAAATGCACAGATGTACTTGAAATTTATATAGTGTATTAGCCAGTGAAATTTTTTTTAATCTAGATATTGAGATATTGTTGTTGAAAGTTGTTCATTTTAACATAGGTTTATATGGCGAAGATGGACGGTGCGGCTCTTTTTTTGCCCATAACTGATAAAACATGTAGAAATTGAGATAAAAGCATTTGTACAGAATAACAAAGGAACATAAATATTTCTCAGCAAACTTTATATCTAAAAAATTAGTTATAGTTGCAAAACTTTTGTAACATTACTAAAATAGAGATTAAAAACACGAACAGTGAGTAATAATGTAATTTCTATCACAGAACCTTCAAAATTGCATCCAACATTTTCTTTGACTTGGACGAGAGATGGGCGCTAGTATCATTTCATTTCTTTAGAACTAAATTAACATAATTCTCGTTGTTTTACCAGTTCGCATGATTTACGGATTTTAAATAAAGGATACAAATCTTCGCGAGGATAATACGATATATTTGCTATATATAATAATTATATTGTTATAGTTTACACACAATACATTTTTGAACGCGTACGCATCTTTATCCGAATATGACGCGCAATATCTCCGATGTTCGAGGTCTGTAGGTTCGCAGTGTGTACAACTGCTAGTCAATTATTAGCGCTGTTGCCACATCTACATAGTCTTTATGCGTTCATTAAATATAATTTAAAACTACTTAAATATGATATTTTTATGTTGTTAATTAGTCAATATGTATGCTATGTGCATATGAGTAGATTTCTTTGCTATATAGATAATGTTTATCGCAAATAATTTCAATAGAATTTAATTTTTTCAAGTTGGCAGCGGGTTTTAGTCCCATAAGAAATGCATAGGACCCCCCTGCGCTCCTCACTTCCCTCGGACCCCAATATACCTCCTTAAGCGAATTCAAATTCAAAAAAATAAATTTAAAAAAATTTTATCAAATGAAGTCAATGTTCTTCGATGCCAGAAATCTAGGTATGTAAAATATATCTAACCCCGCAGACAAAACTCCAAACCACTGATATAGCGGGAAATAACTACTCTACTCTCAAAAACACAGGATGTTTCTTATAATGATTATTTAACATTACTTAACAATTTCAATATATCAGGTACGTGTTTTTGTATTTGTTACATTCAGACGTATCATTTTTAGTTTTTATTTTGAGATTGTAGTTATTTATTAGCATCTGATTACTAAGTATCAAGGCAATGTAATTTAGTACTAGAGCGATTAGCCCACACAGTAGTCGTTTCTCACATTATTAGCACTTGTAAGTGGGGTTAGATATCTGTTGCTTACCTAGATATCTCTGGAAAACAGGGTTTCTTAAATTTTATTTTTTTGAATTTGTTTGAATTAGTTATATTAAAATACAAATATTTTTTCTTACATGAACATAGGTCCGATTCATATTTGTTTAGAAGTTACAAGTATTTTAAAAAATATAATTTCATATTTCAATCAAAGTAGACTGATAATTAGAAATAATGGTTGTTGTAACAATAATTATTATTTGTGTCATTTTGTTTATTCATTTGACACTTGACGTTAAAATGCTAAAATGGGAATGCCAGACAAGCAGTCCGAAAACACAGACGCGAATACCTAAAAAGACATCAACCTGCGCACACAATCTATAGTGTATCATTTCGTAGACTTCAAGAAGAAGGTAACCCCGCTATAAAACGAATAAGATGTACCTAACCTAATAGATGCTGTCATTGATAACTTTTCAGTTAGTGTTCGGCGTATGGCAAGTAATCTTCATCTATCACCGAATTTTGTATGGCGTGTATTGAACAGAGAAATGTTACATCCATTTCATCACTGAAATGTACAAGCTGGTGATTAAAATTTTGTCGCTTCAACAACATGCACAAAATGACTAATTTCATAATAAACCGTCTTGAATCAAACACGGTTCAAACCATTTCAAAAATAAATTAAATTGTATATAACACAATAATTGTCTTATTTTATTGCAGTTTTCGAAAAAACATTGTTTGCATCTCGAACACGAAATGATTTTACGTTCTCGAATGAATATGAACTTCCATTCTTGATGCAAAAATAACTATTTACATAAATTTATAATTAAAAGAAATCATGGCAAATAAATAGGTTTACTCATGTTTCGAAAACTAATTTCGTAAATCTATTATTTTCAATTTCAAACGACATCTCGCGTTCGTTTTAATAACGGTCATCGATGACAATATAATGTCTCATAAAAATTGCCTCTCTCTCTCTCTGTATATCTCCATCTTTCATAAATATTAAGAGCCTCTTATAATAGCTGATGATACTCTCACTTTCTTTCAATTTAAAACAGTCGCGGCTCGTCAGGTGATGCAAGTGACGCACCGCTTCACCTAAAATTTCCGTTTGGTTGTGCAATTTAAAATTATTTTATATAAATTTTATAATTTAGGTATAATTCTATATTGAAAATGTATTGTGTTTGTTTGTTTAATACGCGGAAATAAACAGAATAGTTGCGCGGTGAACGCCTTCTAAAAAAAACATTGCCTTAGTTGAGCGCGAACATAACCTCGGATCATACAACGTATAGTATACGCAAGGGACGCAGATTGAAATTCGTCTGTATCCTGCTTCTCTTCGTAGCATTGTTTACGGCGGTTGTCATGGCAACGACGCGGCCAACACGGGATTAAACTACGGGCGTGGGGGAGCGAGTGACGCAGAAATTGAAGTGTACGCCCAGTGTATGATTATAACGGTTCTTAGTTAATATTTGTTTTGTATAATAATTGTAGAAATGCTTCCAATGTATGATCCAGTATGTATTTTTCCAGATGGAAAATTGAGGACAACGTGTACGTTCGAAAGTTTCGGAATGGTATTCGGAGTATAAGAGGTTGTGTGGAAGTGCCAATTTAAAAAAACTTTTTGAATAAGAAGGGATTTAACAATTTTGGGAACGTCACGCAAAGTTGTCGTAACCACAAAGCTTCTTTGGAACATACATGTACGGTGTGCCGAACTAATATTTCTATTTTTTATAAAATCTAAATAAAAATTCTTCTCACGAACGTCAGTTTTTCGGTAATATTGCAAATGCAACTAAAAATGTTCATGATTCATTTAAAGCCATTTGACCTTGAACTATTGAAAATTTTCGCCAGTGGCGCTTTTTTTTTCTTTTTAGTCAATGAATATGCTTCACCTATTCTCATGTCACGAGCCGCCACTGATTTAAAAGTGATCTAAATTGTGAGCAAAATAATTCTTATTTTAACGTTTACGTCTGATCTAAGACGGGAGTTGCACCTAAACTCGACCTGCTTAAAAATAATAATATACATGCAAGTCTCTGACTTATTTGCTGGTTAGAGATATATGACATTTTTTTATTATAAAGAATTTATTTTTACTTTGATGATCTTGTTTTGTTTGATGTACATGTTGTCTTTTGTTTATCTCTTTCCTTCAGAGTAAAATTTTTAGTTATGCGAAACAAACTTTATCGTTTTATTGTTTTATCGTTGGCCAGGGAAAAATCCATAAATTTCCATCATCAGTTTCTATTTTCTATATAAAAAAGAATTGACTTGAGACTTGAGGTCAGTGTAGATAATGAAATTATTTATCAAATCTCAATGGAGTACGTAGGAGTGTTTTGTGCAGAACCCCTCGCTCCAAAAGAAGTGAGTTCCGATAACACGAATTTTACAATTCCCATTTTCATTTTCGTAATCCCAGTCATTATATTTTTGTATTTTGCATTTTGTTAGCAATGAATTAATTTATTACTTTCCAAATTTTCCATGAAATTCTTAAACAAAAAAATTCCTAAGTCTTACAATCTCTCACCTTGAATGAATTATCGTCATCATATTGGCACATTAAAAAGTGCATGCTCAACTGATCTGTTTTATTAGTATTAGCGTTGAGTGAGATCTCACTCAACGGTATTCGATAAATATGATTTTGCGAATGTAGTAATTATTATCAATACAGGATGTTAAAAAGCTTGCAAAAAAGTAATACCTAAATCTGCACGATTTGAATATCGTAATGATAAACGAGATAATTCAGGGGCCGAGATTTTTTTTTAACACCACCGAAATGTTCGCAAAAGTATTTGCATTTTCTGAACAAACTTAGGAAGATTATGGCAAACAATTTCACTAATGAACATAATGACATGCTGCAAGTTTTTTTTTAATGTTTAAAAAACTGTGCAGCAAGAAGACCACCAGAGGCATCCAAATCTAATGACAGGAATTGTCATGACAGCCGCCTACTCAAATATTTCTTACTTGCTCGTGCAAATTCTAATGCGAATGACAATGAATTTAATTTTTTTGTTAATAGGCGGTTAGCTTTAAAGCACGCTATCTAATACGTATTTTTGAATATTCAATTTGTGTCAAACAAAAAAGTTTTAGCAAAAAATAACTTAAGGGATGTTTATTTCAATCTCCACGAAGGTACAGAAATTTTCGAAAAATTGTTAAGAAGTTGCACATGCACTACAGGAAAATTTGTGTAAAATTTAACTATTATACCTTTTTTGGTTTTCAAATTATAGCCGTTATTCCATATTTTTTTGAAAATTTTTAGAGTCTGTATCTCCTAAGGGGATATTACCATACTAAGGTCATTTTTATGCAAAACGTGTTCTTTTTAGCTGTTAACTTTTCGATGCAATATTTGTTGAAATTCTGTAATTTTTTAACATTTCCAAATATTCAGAAATTCTAGGACGGGTCTGAAAATATTTAATTAGAACGGGCCCTATGAAAAAATTCACTTTGTATGAATTTTTTTTAATGTAACTAGGAATTTTTAATAGTGGACAAATGGGTGCCACTTTTGTTGATTTTTTTTATAAATAATCAGTTCTAACTTAAACTGAAAATTCAGCATTCAGCTATCAAAAACACTTATAAATTCTTGCCTCAGTTACAGTAATACTGTCATTTTGTGTAATTTCTAGGGAAGTATTAAATTAATTTTTAATTTTTGATTGTATCACTAAAAAAATTAAAATGTCTATTTTAAATTAAATTGTAAGGAGAAACTCTAAATTAAAATGAAAAAACTAAAATTGTACAAATCAAGACGAATTCAGAAACCAAAGGAAAATACAAAGAAGCTATTAAAAGTTACAATCTGCCCCTATGTTGTTGAAAGGATTGGTTCTATCAAGGTTGCAACAACGAATAATTCGAGAATGTGGCATTTTCTCGCTGATAATTAAAAACTAATCCAAATATTGGAAGACTTGGAATATGACGGTCAGAAAATCTTCGTTGGTATTCTCTAACAGCACCTGTGCCATTCCCCTAAAACAAAACAAAACCCCTAAACAAGAATAATGCCTGTATATCCCACATTTGGCTGATAAAGGAATTAGATTAACAAAAACAGGGAATACACTATCACGGAAAAACTAAAGTAATAGTAAAAATTAAAGAAAACGACGATGTAAAAATCTCGATACTTTTTATTATTTTCTGGCACTTGTAGTTCTGAATTCATCTTATTTTGAGTAGTTTTATATTTTTTATTTTATTTTAAGATTTTTCGTTACTGTCCATACAAATTTATTTTTATAAACGTATGAGATATTTTAAATATTAATTCAATTGAAACAAGAACTATTTACAATTAAAAGTGATTGCTTTTTATAGTTACATTTAATGAATTTTCTGTTCCAGTAAAAATTGATTATTTGTAAAAAATTCAAAAGTGTGACAAAAATGCCAAACAGATAAACTTAAATGCCCATTTGTTCACTTTTATAATTCTTAGATACAATTAAAAAAAATTTGCATTCAGTGTGTATTTTTCGATATGAACTCTTCTAATGAAATTTCTTAAGACTGGTCCTGGAATTTCGTCACCCGACAATGTATAGTTTCACCAAAAAATTTGAATAAACCTTTCAATTACGCCATCGAAAAAAATGTTTGGTATAAATCTATAAATGATCCTGTATATTAATAAAGAAAGGGAGTAAACACTTTTTATGTATGTAGAATGGTGTAATTTACAATTTAAAATTATTAATATTCTAAAATATAAGAATAACTACGAACCTATAAATACTGCTAAGATCTGGGGCCATTGTTTTTCATCTTCCACTAGAACCAAACCATTACTTTTATGTTTCATTTCGAGTAATCTTCTAAATTCTAAATTACGATTCTTAACTGCTAGATGATAGTTAACATGTTTGACGAACGATGTACATACAGTTAACTCATTTTTATAATACGCTGTTTTAACAAGTAGATAACATTATCCGCATCAGTTTATATAAATAATAATTACTTGCAAAATTTGTGGATTTCATAATGTATGCAAAGAATTATGTTGAACATTAAAACTTTTACTTCACCTAATATGGCCATTCAATGTATGGTAAGTAATTATTTATATATTTGTTTCAATAAATAGGTGTATATTAATTACATCTTTCATAAAATAAGAATAGTTTTTACTTTATTTAGAATAATTAAAACGAAACAACATAAAAAATATATTTTAAATGAAATAATTTTTTAGAGGCCTTTTAATTTTTCGGTGATAAATAAAATAAAACATTTGGTAGTTCCTATTCAAAAATAACAGGGAATTTATATATACTGTTATACAATTATTATTTAAAAAATATACAGCGCTATCCAAAAAGTTTTCAATAGAGGGGAAAAATCTATATGTATAAATTTCAATTGTCTCTGCATGTCGTCAAATCAAAATAGCGCCCATCTAACCTCAGAAAACGTGTGTTATATACGAGGGGCAGACGAATACTGAAAATCGGCCCAAGAGTAAAGTACCTTTATTTTCAAGCCTAAGAGAAAATGTTATAAAGAAAAGCTATTTCTCTCTAAAATATTAGCCCGAATATAAAATTTCAGTTCATTATGTTGAAAAAGCCATTCCTGACATTTTTGGAACTTTCCGTCGTACCATAATTCGAGCGAAAACATCCATTACTAAAGTCACGTATTTTAGTACGCTACGCTTCTACAAGAAAACCATTATACTTCCTGAAAAGAAGTTGAATCAGGAACTAATAAAGCTGTTATAAAAAATGATGTAGAAAATACGAACAAATTTGGTGCAAACTTTATTTTATGTTCAAGAATAATTTAAAAACCAAGTAAAATGATAAACCACTTCTTAAATTAACAGTTACAGTTCACTCGTTCAAAACATATTTATCCTGGCAGTTATAAGGTGGAAACAATTTTTATTTTACAAAGCAAAAAAAAACAAATAAGAAATACATGAAGAAAACTAATATCATTAACAATCAACTTTTTGACTACGGAGGCGATACTTCTTGAATAACATTAAATTAACATTAACATTTAAATTATTCTTGAACATAAATTTCTTATTTTCTACACTATTTTTTTATCGTTTTTATAATGTTTTTCTTGTAGAAGCGTACCTACTAAGAAAGCGTGACTGTGATAAATGTTTTCACTCGAATTATGGTACGAGGTAAAGTTGCAAAATTGTCAGGAATCGCTTTTTCGGCATAATGAACTGAAACTTTATATTCGGGCTAATCTTTTAGAGGGAAATAGCTTTTCTTTAAAACATTTTCCCCTAAAATTGGAAATAAGGGTACTCTTGGCCGATTTGCGGGTTTGTCTGACAACAAGAGACAACTGACAATCGAAGGAATTTATTAAATTTGTATACAATGCTATTTCCCATATAGTGCAAACTTTTTGAATAGCGCCGTATATTCTATTGCTGAATATGTGATATTTCTCAATAACTCTATATCAATCATATCTTCTGAAATTATTTATTTGTGGCATTATTTATTTGTAGCAATTATTCAGAATTTTTTTTATCTAATTGGGGTGACGACACCCCTAGAAAGAAACAGTTTTTATTTTTGATAGGCAAGAATACGTTGAACTCCTCAATTAACTAATTGTTTTTATTGTTCAAACAAAATCCATTAATTAAAAAAATGGCTACTACTTACACTCTTTCTAAAATATTAGGAGTTTGTATCTCACTCAAAATATTTTAAATTAATACCTATGTATCTAATGGTAAACATGTTTCAAGTTAATTGTAAGGTAAGCAGGTACTTTAAAACATCAGACACTTTAATACATAAGTCTATTTATAGTAGTGATAGTATAAATACCATAAATGGCAAAAATCCATATAAACCACAAAAATCCATGAATTGCATTAGTAACTAAAATATAACAGTAGGTACAATAGCTATTTTTAAATTATTAACATATCCTATTGCTCATTCACTTTATCTTTATTACTTAAAGAGATATAAAGATATGTAATTGTAGTATTTCTAAAAGGAATTTAACATTTCATCTCAAATTGAGGGTTATAAATTATATCTTTTCACTTTCAGAAACAATATTTATTTAATAACTTTGCTGACAAAACTATTTATTGGTAGTAATTTTGTTTAATCTTTATATCTTGAAACCTATTTTGCATCAAAAGTTATAATATCCAATTTGAATATGAGCTGTTAATTTTTTTTACCAATGTGTCAATTGTAACGGTTTAGTTTAGTTATTGAATAGGATGTTATATAGAAAAACTAGCCTTTACCCGCGGCTTCGCTCGCAGAGTGATAGAAAATCTTTCGTAAAAAATATTTTTTTTTAATAAAAAGTATCCTATGTTACTTCTAATACCTCCAAGAATATGTGTACAAAGTTTCATGATGATCGGTTAAATAGTTTTCGCGTGAAAGCGTAACAAACAAACTTACATTCACATTTATAATATTAGTAGGGATAATAGTAAATCAAATACATTAATTAGGAAGATACGTTATTTCATTTATGTTAAGTTTTTTTTGAAATGCTTCCTAAGTAATTGTTTGTAATAATATGTTTCTTGCAAAAATACCATTTGTTAATGATATTTAGTATTCTAGAAAACTGACTGATACACTGTAAAAAATGTTACTCAATTTTACTCAATAAGGTATTAATTTCTGTCCACACCCGATTGAGTGTAATTTTCACTCTTATAGTATGAGTATATACTGAGTGAAACTATTGCTTCAGAAATGAGTGAGTTTTACCCAAATTCGAGTTACTACTAACAATCAATTGAGCGACTTTTGACTATATTCTGAGTATATAAAACCAATTTAGAGTTGACTTTTTCTCTAATATGATTAAAATTTATTATCGAGTCATTTTTGGTTTTTAATAAACTAAATATTGAGTGCAAAAATAAATCACTCATAAATGATTAATTAGGATATACAGTGTTGAAATTAATTCACTTTGCGGGGCCTCCTCCTGTCCTGACGGAGACCCGCCAGCTGAGACCCGCCGCCGCCGGCTAAGCTAAGGCCTGTTCCTCTGGCGATCACGCTTTTCTGGATCATCTAATGCGCCCCTATCAACTGTGGACAATGAGGACACTTACTCTGATTTAGGTAGAATTTATTTAGGGAGTACCTATATTTGAGTGAAAGTACTCAGTTTTAGTTTAAATATAATCACAAATGAGTAAAATGCCCAATATTGAGTGAAAATGTACTCAATAATTTCACTCAATGGATTCACTCCGAACCTTTATTGTTTTCACTCACACCGATTTTTTTTACAGTGTATAAGTCGATTGTACTCAACTGCCAAGTACGGGATGTACCTTTAAATTGAGGGTCAGTTTTTAAGGGTAAACGTTCTCTTTAATACGAAACTGAAATTTATTTTTAAGCAAAGAAATACTCGCGTTGTAATTAGTTTTTAAACTGTACTTTAATTATTCTTGTCACCCGAAATTAGTTTGATAAGTTGGATCAATGTACTGCCAGTGTTGCCAGCTTGTGCAAGCCAGTGCAAAGTAGTTTAGTAAAACATATTGCTTTTGTATGGCTTAACGTGTTATATGTTATTTTAGTCACCATATCTTTTAATATCAATATGGGAGAAGCATCGAACATTAAAAATACATTCTATTGTTTTTAAAAACATATATCTTACATTCTTTAGTAAATATTAACTAATATTGATAAGAAAATAGGTACGTTACTAATTGTAAATAAAACTAATTTATGTTTTAAAATAATTATGTTTACACTTTTAAAAAACGAACGTTCGAGTAATTAAAAAATAAGTAAAAATACTTACTAATCTGGTTGATACGAAATATATTTTTTTAAATCGTTTAATTTTACTTAGAGTTGTGTTACTACTTTTTAAGCAGCGTATGTCTTTAATTTGTGAACCTCAGTTCCAATACCTCTGACATTCACATAGTTTAAAGTAGATAGCGACGCGCTTAGTAACATTAAAATAGGTAATATTAAAATTCTGAACAAAGTACGGTATGTTTCTACTATTTTTCAATAGCTGCTAGACATAGTAAATTAATCCAAAATAATAACAATATTAAACCATGAGCAGTTTAAAGGACCCCGCAATAATCTTATGGAAATTGGGTTTCAGCGGATTGGTCTGAATTTTTGGTATGTTGTAGCCCTAACCATACTGATCAAAAGTCCCAATGGGCACGACCCCCCAAATGGCGTATTTTCTCTGCTAGGGGGCACTGAAAGTCCCCCAAAAGCCAATTCATTTAAAAACTGCAGATTTTTCGCAATAACATTATAGAACTTGGAGTTCAGCGAAACGGTCTGAATTATTGGCATGGTGGTATAGCTATAACCACTCTAACAAAAGCCCCAATGGGCTCGACCCCCCATACCGTGTGTTTTTGTCACCAAGAGCATTAAAACCCCCCAAATTCTATTCGTTCGATTTCAGCGAAAAATTTTTGGTTTGTTGCAACCCTAATCATACCAATCAAGATTCTCAATTGACACGACTCCCCAAATGGCGTATTTTCGCCGCTAGGGGGCACTGGAAACCCCCCATAAGCCTATTCATTTGACAAATACAGCTTTTTCGCAATAATCTTATGAAACTTGGGTTTCAGCGAAATGGTCTGAATTTTTTAACTCTTAGATTAGTGCGAGAAGCTTCATCACTACTATCTCCCTCCCGTTTCTTGCAGAGAAGGGATCAACTAAAAGAATTAACTACGAAAATGTTTTAACTCAACCAGTTTTTGCTTTAGTTTAGGTTTCCAGTGCCCCCTAGCGGCGAAAATATGCCATTTGGGGAGTCGTGTCAATTGGGAATCTTGATTGGTATGATTAGGGCTGCAACATACCAAAAATTCTGAACGATTTCGCTGAAATCGAACGAATAGAATTTGGGGGGTTTTAATGTCCTTGGAGCAAAAACACACGGTATGGGGGGTCGTGTCCATTGGGGCTTTTGTTAGAGTGGTTATGGCTATACCATGCCAACAATTCAGACCGTTTCGCTGAAGCCCAAGTTCCATAATGTTATTGCGAAAAATCTGCAGTTTTTAAATGAATTGGCTTTTGGGGGACTTTCAGTGCCCCCTAGCAGAGAAAATACGCCATTGGGGGTCGTGCCCATTGGGACTTTTGATCAGTATGGTTAGGGCTACAACATACCAAAAATTCAGACCAATCCGCTGAAACCCAATTTCCATAAGATTATAGCGGGATCCTTTACGCAGAATCCGATCTTGTTGCTAACACTTACGGAGGACAATGGAGGGTACCGTCCGGTGTTCAGTTAAAATGCCGTATTACCGCTTCTGAAAAGCGCTACTGCCAGTTGGCTTCGCACCTGGTCTGATATGACGAGATGGTAAAGGAATAAAAATAAACTACCACTTTAATTCGGCGAAACGGTATTAACTGAATATGTCACCACCGCTTTCTCTTGTTACATTTTTATTTTAGTTTTCAGTTCCGTTCAATTCAAAAAATTCAAACGCTTCAAAGAGCAGTATTTCTCGATGAGTGGTGTGGAATTGCTTTATAATAGAAGGTGCCTTAAATTATTTGACAACAATGCATACCGCACTTCCCAAGTGTGCATGCGCTGCAATTAAATCGCCCCGTTGTTTGAGGTCACACTAGCTTGTCCAACTGCAGGGTATGAAAATTACTAGAAAAAGGTTTAAAAAACTAATCTTAGAAAAACTTATAATAGGTACATATCTGTTTCTAAAGGTCAAAGGTAGGCTGTGATCCCCATTCACCCTGTATATTTTGCGTACTACTAGAATTATTTTACGAAGACAACAAAGGCTCGAACATGTAGATCTTGAAAAAAAAGAATTAATTCAAAAACGATCAACATTCATTTTACAAGGTCCTCTATCGAATAAGTCAAAGTAACACCCACAAATTGTAGGTCGTAAGGATCCAGGGGGTGTTGCGATCGACAGCCTCAGACGTGACAAATTGCGCATTAACATTATTATTTATTACATTTATATTACCATATTATAATGTTTAAGGAACAAATTACCTCTTTTTGAAGTGTATTTCACTGACCCCTGTAATCAGACGACTTAACTTCTCCTAAAACTGTTAGCAATATCAACAATTAGATACGACAGTCTTGTCCTGTATATCTAATGTGATCAAGATTAATATTATTCATATTATATCCTGCAATTAACAACGATAAATCGTTATTTTCATGTTTAGGGAATAGTATGACATACAACCACACTAATTATTACACAGCCACACAAAAAAAGAGAAGTAGTCTGTACTTTTCATGCGAAGAACTGGTAAAAAATAGAAAAATTTCATGAAGAAGTGCTAAGAAAATATAAAAATTGTTTTTTTTTTCTATATTCAAATGCTCATTTATATAGTTAAGACCCAGCCAAAGGTGAATCCGCGGTCAGCATTAATGGTTCTTTTTCTAACCTCAAAAAAACGGGTCAATTAAAGTCAGATATCACGAATTTTCAAACAATAACAGATTCGCACCAAATTTGGCATACGGGGGTTTTCTGGTCCGCTGATCACGCGTCCGAGGTCAATTTTGCAATATTCAAGATGGCGGATCCAAGATGACCGACCAAATTTTCAAAAAAATAACAAATTCGCAGCAAATTTGGTTGGTATACGGGGGTTTTCGGGGTCGCTGATTACGTATTCGAGGTCAGAATTGCGAAACTCATTTTGTAATATTTTACTTTATAACCTGAATACCCAATCATGTGTTAATCTACTTTTTTTCGGCTATATCTTGTTCTTTTTTCTGTAAAAAATCTATTCACGGGTTGAATTTTGTAAATTTGATCTCGGATTCGTGATAGTTTTACTAGCATTTTTTCGTGAATTTTTGCTATTTTTGACCTGTTTTTTGAGGTTAGGAAATTCCTGTGATGTGATAGCTCAATTCTGACACCAGATTCGTAATCAGGAGGCAAAAATACTACTGATAACATATGTCGCATGAAAAGTATAGACTACTTTTCTTTTTCTGTGTGGCTGTGTTATCTACCAGTTCTTAGTTTTGTTACAAATCATCGTCGTTTATCCATCTCAACTCTTTGTTTTGGACATAAAATCTCAATGTGGGGTAAATTCAATACTTGTGTAATATGTTTCACGCTGTTTCTCATAAAGTAACTAGGGCTATTATTTTTCTACTACTTTTTCGAGCCAACTGCTATAACAATTTTATTTATTAAATCCATGTAATCTAATACTAAAATTTATGAGTATCGTCAGTGTTACAGTCCGTACGATATTTGTTGAGAGAAGAAAAAGACTCCTGCGTCACTTTCTTGGAATTAATCGCATTCGATTCCAGTGGTAGAAAAACATTGGCGGCGCAGACTGGGGATTTTTGTATGGAGGTGAGGAAAAAAAGTTTTTTTTTTAAATATAGTAACTTATTGACTGCTGTAATTTTATTTATATAGTAGAACATAAAATAATTCAACTTTAAAAAAATATGTATATATTTAGGGTGAAAAGCAAAGGGGTACAAGTATCAAAACTAAAAAAATTGAGTTATATGCAGGAATCAACACTTAATACCAATATCTATTACTCTATAGGTATGTATTATGTATTAGAAACCAAAAATATTATGTATGAAAATGCGTGTCAGGTTGCAGCACCCAGCGCTCCCCACTCTTCCGAATTTACGAACTCGAACGAAGCTAATTCCCTATGTAGCGTTCCAGAAAATAAAAGTCTCTGCAGTGTTTATTTTTTCAATTTTAGCTTATTGAAATATCCTATTTTAAATAAAAAACAAAAATAAAAATGTCAGCTAAAGCAATAAAATAATATTCGTCTTGAAATTCTTAAGTTAAATTTCAGTCAGTTCAATAAAACATACAAGTAATGAGTTTGAAACGGTTTAAAAAAAAACTAGTAGTCAGATCAAAGTAATTCGTTTTGATTTGATTGTAATAGTTATTTCGAAAAATAAAAATACCGTTGCATATTGCATTAATAGTATATTGAATATATGACTTTTTTCCGCGAAATCCCCACAGTGCGCCGCTGCAGAGGAAAGATTCAGCATACTTTTTTTGGAAAATTTTTGTTTTTTTCTAATTTTCAGCAAATTGGTGATAGTAATTTGTAAAGTGATACTGTAACATAGCACATGATTCTTTTTCGCTTATTTTTCAAAAACTCTAATGACAACTCAAATTTCAACGCAGGTTTAACTATAAAGCCGTTTTTTTACAAAACGGCTGCTTTCAGCGATAAATGCTAAGAGTACCTTTTGTACGTAAATTTGAATGGAAAATAGGTATGTGGTACCCTCTAACATTAAACAAAATACCAAACAAAATTTTTTTTTGGACGCTATGTATCTCAAGAACCAAGTCGTTACAAACCCATGTGCATATGAACATTTTATCTTAAAATTAGTCGAAGATTCACCCTTTCAAGTTTGTACAAGTAGGTACTTAATAATTACCCTGTATATATATTATGTGTGACCGTACTTATAAAAATCATCACAATGTAACTGATGAAGATCTAATTAGTTCAAATTTTCATTGTTTCATTTATTAGTACCTACTTTGAATTTTTAACTGTACGTAGGGGGGGTTGGAGGAGTGCCACAAATAAATATATGAGAAGGAGCTATGTCATCAAAAAGTATGGGAACCACCGACGCCTTATATATGAAATCATGAAAATCGTGAAATCATGACCTTAATCATGAAAAAAGCCTGTTATATTTTTTATTTGGCATAGTGNAACTGTAGGCAAATGTAGCTAAAATTAGAGGTCCAAGTGTTTGGAGAAATAGGGCTTTTTTATTCTATGTTCATAAAAATATTTTTAAACAGAAAATAAAAGTCTCTGCTGTGTTTATTTTTTCAATTTTAGCTTATTGAAATATCCTCTTTTAAATAAAAAACAAAAATAAAAATGTCAGCTCAATTTATGACTTTTTTCCGTGAAATCCCCACTGTGCGGCGTGGCTTCACCGTAGCAGCTTGCAGTGCATACTGTGCTTTGCAGTTATAAAGGCGTATTTCTTTGGTTCTTTTCTTGGAATTTTACCTCTACAAATATTGTACGGACTGTACAAAAAGTGTTGAATATAAAATTGATAATATATTTTTAATAAAAAAAATGTGCACCAAATGGCTGCATAAAAATATGTCTCTTCCATTTGCCTTTCTGTTGAAATAATTCACCTTGAAATTAATCTTTTAGTTTTTCCATGATTGTTCAAATAAATCAAATAATTGGAGTGGATAAGTGATTTAGCTTGCCCTCTACTATCTTAGGCCTTATAGTCCAGTCAGTACTTGTTTCGGGTTGGGTAAAACGCATATGATCGGAGATTTTTGCTTTAACGGCTTCTAAATAACATCAGAAATGATAATATTTCTATGCAAATAAAAAAAACGTGGGCTTAATTGTTATTGCAAAAAAGTATAAAAAAATAGCAAAAAAATTCATTTTTTTCTTGGATTTCTCGTCGACAACTTAGCAACTATTCATTTTAGACAAAAATGGAAGAGGAAAAAAAGTTTTGTAATTAAATTTTGATCAAGATAGAGTTAGTTGCAATTCGAAAAAATAATTATTGTTGTTGCAAAAATCGGAAAAATCATTTAAAAAATTGCAAAAAATGCTAGTTTATTTGTCAATTTTTTTCAGACACTTGAATAATACCTAGGATCTTCATACTTTTCCCAATTAAACTTCTTAGTGCATAGAATCATCACACCAAATTTCATCCAATTCGGTTCGATAGTTTTTACATAATAATTGTTTAATTTTTTTATTTTTTTTAAATTAAAAAATTTTCAAAATCAAATTTCTAAAAATCTAAAGCCTTTGAATACTTGAAAATTTCACCACAAAAAGAAGAGCTCTCAAGCTTTAAAATGCTTTTTGAAAAATTCAAATCGGACGATTAGGTGAGCCGTGGTGATTGTTTAAACATTTTCGCAATTTTCACGCTTATAAACAATTGCAATAATTTAATGTTTTTTCAAATTTTTTTTTATTTTAAAATATGGTTTGAAAGTACTCGGAAAGGCGAGTATTTAAAAAAAAACCTGATGATCCGCCCATTATTTTCGGAGTTATAGCCCGTTAAAGTTAACCCTTATTTACAGCAAAACTATAAGGGCTGTTTTTTGAACCAATAGGTTTGTTATTCCGAGTACTTTCCAGATATAAATTTTCAAAATTTGCAATCACGGGCGTCCCATTTAAAATGTCACTCAAAGATATTCAAGACCGCGTGAAATCAATGAGGTATCAGTGGTGGGGGGAGCAAACACACAGCTACTCCGATCTGAATTCTCGAGTTCAAAATTGCGACACTCGGAAAAATTTCACTTATCTCAGCGTCTAATGGACCAATTTCGATGATTTTTTTTTAAATCGATGTCTCGCAACTAAAAAATTCAATTATCATATTTTCAACTACATTTTATTATTAATTATTGGACTTTTGACATGCCGATAAACAGTTACTTTAAAAAATGATTAATTTATTATGTTTATTTATTTACTGTTAATTTTCACGACCAAAATTTTTGCATGTTGCACCATGTTGTTGGTATTAATTAAGTATCCAAAAGATTCTTATACTTTTTTTATAAATAAAAAATAAATTTTAGATAAATATTTTAAAAGTAAACGAAAAAATTAAAATTATAATTATTCACAATTTATGTGAGTAATAATTTTTGAAAGACTTTTAGAAATTTATCGTACAACTAAAAATTAATACCAATTTTCAGTTGTTTATTTAAATAATTATTGTTTAAACAATTTTATAATATTTAAACAAACTTACTAGTATTACCAAAAATTTGAAAAAAACATTAAATTATTGCAATTGTTTATAAGCGTGAAAATTGCGAAAATGTTTAAACAATCACCACGGCTCACCTAATCGTCCGATTTGAATTTTTCAAAAAGCATTTTAAAGCTTGAGAGCTCTTCTTTTTGTGGTGAAATTTTCAAGTATTCAAAGGCTTTAGATTTTTAGAAATTTGATTTTGAAAATTTTTTAATTTAAAAAATATAAAAAAATTAAACAATTATTATGTAAAAACTATCGAACCGAATTGGATGAAATTTGGTGTGATAATTCTATGCACTAAGAAGTTTAATTGGAAAAAGTATGAAGATCCTAGGTATTATTCAAGTGTCTGAAAAAAATTGACAAATAAACTACCATTTTTTACAATTTTTTAAATGATTTTTCCGATTTTTGCAACAACAATAATTATTTTTTCGAATTGCAACTAACTCTATCTTCCAAGAAAAAAATGATTTTTTTTGTTATTTTTTTATAATTTTTTGTAATAACAATTAAGCCCACGTTTCTTTATTTACATAGAAAAATTATCATTTCTGATGTTATTTAGAAGCCGTTAAAGCAAAAATCTCCGATCATATGAGTTTTACCCAAGTATACCCTTTTTATAACAGATACCGCCTAGACTATTAATGTTATTGTTAATACAGCTGCAAAATATTACTACATTCGATTTTAAGCTGAGATGATTCGTCACCTTAATATAGTAATAATGACATATGTAATACAAAAAAACATAAACAAAGCCCTAAACCACAGTATAGAAAACAGTAAATTCACTAGGGTCCATTTTTTATAAATAGGTTAGATAGGCAGTGAATTTACTGTTTTCTACACCGTGCCTAAACCAATTTTTGTGAATGAACACGTTTTTCAAATATTGCATCATCTATTTACACACATAAAACAAAACAAAATCTTATAATCTAGATAAGTAATTACTTAAATTTTAATACTTAGGAATAATAAAATAATGAACAACTTGTCTTATTCAATCTTATTTAAGGCGGCGTCTTTAATATTTATTTATCTAATTGATAATATGTTTTTTATATATTAGTGTATAATTACAGTGTTAGTTTGTATGTGACTTTACATTAACAAGGTCTTTTTGCATTGCATGTAAAACATTAGATATCAATCAACTGACCAAATGTTGTGATTGCTCTGTACAAAAATGATTTTTTGTAATCTTCGTTATTAATAAAGGTCAAATAGGTAACTGTAATCTTAAAAGTCGCTGTATCCAAATAAATAAAAATATATAACGGGTGGCTCAAAGTGAGTGGCCTATTAGATTATTTCAGAACCTACTTCGATTTAAATTTTGAAAACTAGCACACTAGCGATTTTGGGTGTACAATTTTCAAATCTAATATATTTCGTTCCTGTAACACTTCCGGTTATACCGCAAGTTGTCGTTTGTTGTTGTTATTTTAAACGGAATACCTACTATGTATATTTTTACATTTTTGAATTCTACGCTTCATTTGAAGGTGACTTTTATCAAGTTTCCTTATTCCTAAAATTATC